ATGGCTGCTGTAGCTCTAGACATCAGGTTCATGTTCAAAGAAGGTAGAAAGGAAGGGAAGGGAAGTCAGTCTTTTCCTGTAGTCAGGAAAGCAAAAACAAAGAAACCTGCCAGTAGATATCTGCTTAGATTACATGAACAAGAACTCTATCACACAGCTGCTAACGAAGGAAGTGAAATGACAAGACACATACTCAGAAAAAATGTACCACATGAAGAATTATTATGAAGAACATATGAAGAACTTCCACAATTAAGAATAAGATAAATAACACAATAGAAAAATGGCAAAAGATATGAATGGGCAGTTAATAGAAGAGGAAACATTTTTGGTAAATACATTTCAGGAAAGACATCCAACCACATTAGTGACCAGGGAAATGTAAATTAAGACTACATTGAGATACACATTATTCCTACTAAACTAGCAAAAGTTAAGAAGTCTCAGAATATTGCATTGATGAGAATCTGGAGTTGTATCCACCACTAGTGGGGGTGTAGATGAAATGGTATAACCATTTAGTAATACAATCTGAGATTATCTCATGAAGTTGAATGTGGACATACTACATAATGCAGCTAGTAATTCCACACAAGAGACATGTACACAAATGCCTGCAGCAGCATTATTTGCATAAATGAAAACCCAGATGATTATTGTCAGAAGAATGAATAAAGTGATGTACTAATATGACAGACCTACTATTGCAGCAACATGAATGAATGTAAGAAATATAATTGAGTGAAAAAAAGTCGAGGGCAGAAGATTAAATCTTTGGCATAATATTTTTAAAAGCTAAAAAAACAAGCAAGTTAAACACTACATATTTTTAGAGATACATACACATGTTGTTCAACGATAGGGAAAAAGCAAAGCTAAAAAAAGGTAAACATAAAATTCAGGAGCATTTAAAGACTGCAATGATCCAGGTGTTTAGTTGAATAGCATCATAGATTCATAGTTGCCCATTTTATTATGCCTCATAGCTTATTTTTATTTATTTAATTTTGAGATGCAGTCTCGCTCTGTCGCCCAGGCTGGAGTACAGGTGGTGTGATTTCAGCTCTCTGCAACCTCTGTCTCCCAGATTCAAGTGATTCTCCTGCCTCAGCCTCCCAAGTAGCTGGTACTACAGGTATGTACCACCATGCCTGGCTAATTTTTTTGTATTTTTAGTAGAGATGGGATTTCACCATGTTGGTCAAGCTGGTCCCAAACTCCTGACCTCAAATGATCTGTCCACATTGGCCTCCCAAAGTGCTGGGATTACAGGTGTGAGCCACCACGCCCGGCCTTTCCATAACTTATTTATATGTCATATATTTATGTATCAAATATTATATGATAAAAACTTTAATAAGGTATGAAGCAAATAACTTTGACAAAAGTGTAAAAAAGATGAAAATATACCACACTGTGAAATTTTCTTTCTGGGGGGAAAGGACATAAGCACATGGAAACAAAAATATCCTAAGGGAATTGAGTCTTATGACTTTGCAGACAATTTTTGAAATAAATATGTTGCTGAGACAGTAAGTGCTGTTAGAATGGAGAGATGGAGATTTACTGATATTGTGTTAAAGAGCGGTGCAAGCAGAGGAGTGGGGACAGAATTCAGCATGCAGAGGTATCAAAAGAGAAAGTGAAAATTCGGCATGTAGATTGCAGACTCCTTTTCAAGAAGTTTAGTAATGACAGAAGGGAGGAAATGAGCTTCTTTCTTCTTCAGGGAGCTTTAGGACTGTTCTTTTTTTTTGGAGACGGAGTCTTGGTCTATCACCGACGCTGGAGTGCAGTCGTGTGATCTCAGCTCACTGCGACCTCTGCCTCCAGGGTTCAAGCAATTCTCTGCCTCAGCCTCCCAAGTAGCTGGGATTACGGGTGCCCACCACCATGCCTGGCTAATTTTTGTGTTTTTAGTAGAGACGGGGTTTCACCGTCTTGGCCAGGCTGGTCTTGAACTCCTGACCTCATGATTCACCTGCCTTGGCCTCCCAAAATGCTTGTATTACAGGCATGAGCCACCGCCCCCAGCTAGGACTGTCTTCTGAAGCTCCATCCTACTTTGCTTTTGTTTTTGATGCCTATATCACATGGAGAAAAATATAGGCCCAAGGGCAAACTTTGTTAAGCATTTATGCAAGCCTCTGAGGTGTCTTTCTCCCTCCCACCCTCCCTTCTTCCCTTCCTCCCTTTCTTCCTCCCTCTCTCCCTTTCTCCCTCTCTCTCTCTCTTTCTTCCTTTCCCCTTTCCCCTTTCCTTTCTTCTTTCCTCCTTCCCTTCCTTTCCCTTTCCCGTTCCCTTTCTTTCATTTTTTTCTGGGATGCACAAACTCCAGAGACATGAGTCAGTGCTCTTGCCTCTGAGATTTCATGTTCAGTCCAGGGACGACACACTCATAGCTACCTATCTCCTCCGGGGATATTAATAGTGTTCCAGTTTTTTGTTTTTGAGATGGAGTCTCGCTCTGTCACCAGACTGGAGTGCAGTGGCGCGATCTCAGCTCACTGCAACCTCCACCTCCCAGGTTCAAGTGATTCTCCTGCCTCAGCCCCCAAGTAGCTGGGATTACAGGCGTCCATCACCATGCCCAGCTAATTTTTGTATTTTTAGTAAAGACAGGAGTTCACCGTGTTAGCCAGGATGGTCTCGATCTCCTGATCTCGTGATCCGCCCTCCTCGGCCTCCCAAAGTGCTGGGATTACAGGCAAGAGCCACGGCGCCTAGCCTATGTTATTATTTAATTTGTGTTTCCTTTTTAAAAAATTATTATTGCCGGGCGTGGTGGCTCACACCTGTAATCCTAGCACTTTGGAAGGTCATACCAGGTTGATCATGAGGTCAGGAGTTTGAGACCAGCTTGGCCAAGATGGTGAAACTCTGTCTTTAAAAAAAAAAATTATTATTTTCACCACCATTTCAAAGTTATTTACCTCAGTCTCAATTCCAATGATCACACCAGAATCCATTTATGACAACAAACTAAACAAAAAAAAAAAATTCCCCCCAAAAGGAATGAAACTTCCCCACTCCAAAACAAAATGATATTTTTTAGTCATTCTTTCCAAAAATGAGGGCTTATTAATTGCTTTTTTTTTTTTTTTTTTTTTAGGTGGAGCCTCCCTGTCGCCCAGGCTGGAATGCAGTGGTGCAATTCTCCGATCACTGCAACCTCCGCCTCTTGGGTTCAAGCGATTCTCCTGCCTCAGTGTCCAGACTAGCTGGGATTACAGGTGCTCACCACCTGTTAGAATTTTTGTATTTGTATTGCTCCCAGGTAAAATCCCTACTCTGTGTACCACCTGTATACTTACAACACACTTCTATCACCGTGTTCATTTAATCACATGCTTTCTAACTGGGCCTCAGGCTAACCCTTGAGGGCAGAGACATTCTCTTGTTTGTTTTAGCTTCTCCACAGCTGTGTACCAGGTATCCATTAGGGGCTCAATAAATGTTGAATTAATGAATTCGTGAATAAACAAAAAATCACTAATCAGTAAGGTTTTTTGAATGTTATTTTTGAAAACACACTTTAAGAGTAAATGTTTATTGCTTTAAAATACAAAGAATTAATAAGATCTAATATTTGATAGTACAACAGGTCTATAGTCAATGATTAAATTGTACATTTTAAAATAACTAAAAAGTATAATTGGATTGTTTGTAATACAAAGGACAAATGCCTGAGAGGATGGATACCTCATTTTCCATGATGTAATTATGAAACATTGCATGCCTGTATCAAAACATCTCATGTAGACCATAAATATATACACCTATTATGTACCCACAAAAAGTAAAAATAAAAAATTTTAAAAAGTAAATGTTATTTCAAAAGCTGTTTCAGATACTGAGCCTAGACTGTAACACAATAGGTGCTCAACAAATGTTTTTTGAATAAATACCTAATACTCAGACATCACAAGTACTTTCGGTTTATTGGGACTTGCAATCTGAGGCCCTTGTAACTCTGGAAGTAAATAAAGCCACATGATAAACAATGACACATCTTTCTCAGGTGTAAAATGCTTAAAGCTTTTACAGCTATTTAAACAAGAGGCGAAATAAAATACATTAGTTTTAAAGAAAAACATCTTGCTTCAAATGTACTTTTTGTTTGTGAGAGCTTACTTGAGGCTATATCTTCAGACTCCCTGTGTTTAATGTTATCTTTCCATTGGTTTCGTGAGTGCTTCGCAAGAAATGTCTAAGAAGTGGTAGGTACATTTTGTGATTTGTGTTTTACATCTTTGTCTGAATAAGAGAAAATATACCCATCATTAACACCTGTGGAGCGTTTAACTCTAGCTAAAGTCACTTTCATCTAATCTTTTCTGGGCTTCACTTCTTCCAGACTGGAACACTGAGCAGGGATTATCAACATCCCCGTATTATAGATAGGAAACTGAGATTACTAAATCTGGGCTAGGGTCCTCCTGGGAATGGGGCAGGGGGATTGCTGGTTAAAGAAAATTATTCTGACACTTGTTAAACACAATGAATACTTTATTCAAGATCACTGCAATAAGGGTCACCACGATTGAAACAGGAGAGAGAAATTGAGCTCAACTCAGAATACGGCAAAGACAGCAAGGGATTTATAGGCAAGGAACAAGCACCGTGTCTGTGAGGGAGGTGACGGTGGATGGAAAATTACTAAGAGGAGACTTCAAGGGTAGGGGGATTCTGGCTAAAGGCAGGTCAAGTGCTTCTGCAGCAAAGGTGGAATATAGGGAATCGAATCCGACATTAAATATCAAGAGTTCAAGGGTGATCAGATATCGAGGATGTATGACTTAGCATGATTCTTGCCAATACGTGGGCACAGCCAGGACACAGGGTGGTGAGCGTTGAGGCCTAGTTGAGAAAGGGCTCAGAGGTACCGAACTGAAGGAGAGCGTCTCTATTCCAGCCTACTCTGACCTCTTTTCCCCGCTTAAACTCAGTGGTAACAATCTGACCTCTTTATTACCTGATTCCCACGGAAGGGGTGGGGACTGGCAGGCAGCCGGTGCTCTAGGATCGTGAGCAGGGGTCCTAGCTCCCTGAAAGCGGCAATGCTTAATGGGGGTACAGAGGCCGAAATCGGAGACCACCCAAGGAACTGCGGTCCACAGCAAATCCCCACGGATCGGAACAGGAGCCGCCCCCAGGCCCTGCCCGGCCGCCGGGAGCCACACTTCTGGGCGGCTGCCGCAGGTCGGGCGGGGCGAGGCCGGCGGCGCTGATTGGCTGACCGCCGCAGCCTGGGTTTCCACGGCCCCGCCCCTGCTGCGCTCCCCACGACCGCAAGGCCGCGCGCGGGCCGGTCCTGCGCTGCCCGGCGGGAGGGGCTAGACCCCGCGTTCCTCCTCCCTACCCGTCTCCATCCTTAAAGCGCGAGTCCGGACGCCCCGCCTGTGGGAGAGGGCGCCGGGATCGACTGGGAGCATCTAGGGCAGGCTGGGACCGACCGAGGAGGTTCTGAGGCGACAGAGCTGCCGCGGCTGGCACACGAGCGCCTCGGCACTAACCGAGTGTTTGCGGGGGCTGTGAGGGGAGGGCCCCGGGCGCCATTGCTGGCGGTGGGAGCGTCGCCCGGTCTCAGCCCGCCCTCGGCTGCTCTCCTCCTCCGGCTGGGAGGAGCTGTAGCTCGGGGCCGTCACCAGCCCCGGGCCGGGCTCGAGAATCGAGGGCCTCTGCCGCTGTCTCCCATCTCAGTCCTTCGCCCGCGCCGGGCAGCCAGGGCAGAGACCATGTTTGACAAGACGCGGCTGCCGTACGTGGCCCTCGATGTGCTCTGCGTGTTGCTGGGTACGTACGCGCCGCCGGCCCGAGGGGCGTGTGCACCCGGGCGCGGACGGCTGTCCCGGGAGGGCATTTGCGCAGAGCCGCGACTGGCAGCGGGGGTGTGTTGCCTGACGCGTGCGCCGCTGCGGGGCAGTACACGGAGGGCAGCTTCTGCAGCCGAGGGACCCCGCTTTGCAGCCTGCACCCCAGCTCCCGCGTGCCCGCCGCTGTCTGTCGCCCGCCGGTGCGCTGAGCCCAGTCCTGCTTGGATGCTGTTCACGCCTCTGCGCTCCATGCCTTGCTCCTGTCCTCTGTTTCCAGTTCTACTCTTAGGAGAGCAGGGTGGGCTCCTCCCCTCTCTACTGTAGAGAAGCCTGGTCACTGGCCATTCTCAGTACGAAACTGGAGGTTTGATGCACAGGGGATCCTCAGTAGCAGGCGCCAGTGCCTGATTTGTTGTGAGAAGCAGTTTAATTTTTCGGCTATAAAAGGCTTGAACGTTCCTAATTAGAAGGCATTTCCAGGTTGTAAATTGTCAGGTTGCAAGTAGGGGTGAGCACGCCAAGTATAAAGAAGCTTTGGGGGTGGGGGAGGGTGCGGTACCCCAGAACCTACTGTTTGTTTCTCTGCACAGACTTTGGCCGTGGTGTGGCTTTCCATCTCTTGTGACAGCCCCGCAAGGAGCACTAGACATCCTTTGGCTGCAGCAGATTTCACGTTATCTTCCTGACTGGTAGAGTTCAGTTCTGAGGCTTCTGGTTGCCAGTTATTCCTTTCTTTGGAAGAGAAGGAATTGGAATCATTTGGATAAAGGATGGGCGTTGGAAGGAGTGGTTTAACCTTTTATGTATTGTATAAGGCAGTTATGCTGTGACCTATTTATATGTGATGGAAAAATCAAAAACAAAGCAAGAGCTGCTGGAAGTTTGGGTAGTCCTACTCATGTTGAAGTAATCAGAATAGTAGTAGCGTTGGCAAGTTCTCAGGGTGGGAGATCTGTGACCTTAGCCTCTTAGATGGAGATCTGCATAATGGTTTCTCAGTGATAGGAGATTCCTTTGGTTTTACTCCAGTAGTTCCTAGTTATACCCTCTCCAGTTTCCAACCGGACCATTTAGGCACCTGCAATCTTGTGGAATTCTTATAAATTCTGTTACCTGGTTTTGTTGTTGTTGTTGTAAGGAAAAATTCCATTTGTTATCTTTTTTTTTTTATTTTTATTTTTATTTTTTTTTTTAGATAGTCTCCTTTGTCACCCAGGCTGGAGTGCAGTGGCACAATCTCAGCTCACTGCAACGTCTGCCTCCTGGGTTCAAGTGATTGATTCTCTTGCTTCAGCCTCCCTAGTAGCTAGGATTACAGGCACCTGCCAGCACGCCTGCTTAAGTTTTGTATTTTTAGTAGAGACAGGATTTCTCCATGTTGGCCAGGCTGGTCTTGAACTCCTGACCTCAGGTGATCTGCCTGCCTCAGCCTCCCGAAGTGCTGGGATTACAGGCATGAGCCACTGTGCTGGGTCATTTTATCTGTTATTATGAAGCATCTTTGTTGTTTCCCAAGACACTTTCCGTTTAGGTCCACAGTGAGGTTTAGGAATTAAGTTTGGGAAAGGGGAACACAATTTTGGAACACTGTCTTTGTAAAAACACAATCCTTTCAGTTGTTGGGGCTTATTAATAAACATATTCAAATTTATTTGCAACAAAAGAACAAATACCTTTCATAGAAATGTTACATTGAAAAATATTTTTTAACTTGGTGTCATTGGAACTTTGTTAAACTTTGTTTATATTTTAGTGAAAGGAGAGGAAAATGTGCAATCAGAAAAAAAATCAAGGTATTTCCAATATATTGAATATTATCCTATCATTGCCACACGTTGTGCACTATCAGAATTATATATCATTTTCCCCCCTTCCTACTGTTGGAGTTTGATTAATTTGTAAAACAACATAATGTTTTTTCTATGGGCCAAACACTGATTAGGATGGGTGAAACATAATACTGCTCTGAGGTTGCTGAAGCTAATAGTATTAAACACAAAGCTATATGGTAGATCTGCAGTTAAAAAAAAAAAATCCTGCATAATGGAGGAACTGCCATGCAGTACAATTTTATAAATTATGTGTTGTTGTAGCCTGTAGTTTTAACATGATACAGACATCACATAATTATCCTATAAAGGTAGATTAATTTTATTGCTACATTGACTTGACAGTTGCAGGAATATGATGGCTCTCAAGAAGATAAAATTGTGTTTACAACTTAAAAAGTCTTTGGTGGTTTTGGAGAAAGCTTGCTTTGAGGATTTACTTGTTTTAGAAAAAGGCATTTGATCTATTTCCAACATTATGTTTTTGTATTACTGGCATTTCTTTTAAAGTAATTCAGTGTATTATTAAGATGAACTCAAAATTCCCTTTTCCTAAGTAGAAAGTTACCTATTTTACTGACTTTTAAAAATTAGATATGTAAGATTACATTGCATTTAACAACACCAACTGTCCATTACAAATAGCAGTGAAGGAGAACAGTGATGCAGGAGATACGAAACCTTTTCATACTTACTTTTGGAAGACACATGTTGTATATAGCAAATACACCTTTCTGGTGGGGTCTACTGTATTAAATTTGACTTTTATTCATTTTACTGACAGCAGGAGATTGGTAACCTAAAATCATGGTACTTGAAGAGAGTTTTCAACTTGTCATTAACGTTTTCCTTTTTCTGTGTAGAATCTACAGGTAAGAATTGACTGTTAGAACAAAAAGATGATTAAGCACTTCATAAATACAGGGTTATGTGAAAGTGGTTCATAATTATAATGTGAGTACGTTCCAGATTCTGTTAATGACCACCCCAACATCATATAGTATAGCCATTTTAATATGATGATGTTACGTGAACCTGTTATACAACTACTTTATAATTTTACTGAGAGTGATGTGTGTTGAAGTGATAATTAAAACATGCCGTGTGTGTGTGTGTGTGTGTGTGTGTGTATGTGTATGTGTATGTTTCTGTCCCTATGCCATCTTTATCAGTGTGAAACATGACTTCCTCTATATACATGTTCAAATTATTCGTTCCCTAAATGGATCTGATAAATCCTTGGAAAAAGAATGAGAACTTTGAGAAGTAATGTGTGTTGGTTTGTCAAGTGGATCTGGTAAACCCCTGGAAAAAGAATGAGAATTTTGAGAGATAATATATATTTGATTCCTTTCTGAAATGGAACATAGTCTTTCTCTGGCTCTTTTTATGACTGGTTCTGTGACTATATAACAGGTTTTTTACATTGTCTGAGCACATGAGAAAATCTCTACAGAGAATGGTGGTGGGCTGGTATGAAAGGGGCTATGTTTTAGCCCAGTGTGTTAAACCGTGGCCTGAATACAACTTATTAGTGTTTAATGGCTAAGGGTCATTTCAGATTTTAGCCTCTATGGCATTACACTGCCAATTAATGGACACTGAGTTCATCAATTTATTCAGTGCCTATTGATTGAAGGCCAGCTTCGTGCCCAGTACCGTGTTAGGTTCTAAGGATGCAAAGATAAATAAGATAATCCCTGCCCTCAAGGGCTCAGAGTCAATGAGGAATAAATAAACAAGATGTTATAATACATCATGATAAGTACAATAATGGAGGTTTGGAATATGTTCCCTTTGAGCAAAGAGAAGGGCCTTGTCTTAGATCTGCTGCATTGCAGATAAATGACTTGTCTGTTTACTCTTAGAGATGCAGAAAGGTCAGAGTTACCTGGAATTACTCATAGCTGCTGCTGCTTCTTTTTTTTTTTTTTTTTTTTTTTTTTTTTTTTTTTTTTTTTTTTTTTATTTTTTTTTTTTTTTTTTTTTTTTTTTTTTTTCCTTTTCCAACTTGATATAGGGCAGTAGGAGCCCAAGTAAGTACCAATGTTTATGACTTACTTGTGGGTGGTCCCACAACATCTAGAAGATTTAGATGGAACTGACAAAACTTTCTTTCTATATACCTGTGTTTTGCTGTTTAACAATCATTTAGAATATCTTTCTGTGCTGTGTGTGTTCCATTTTCCCTTTCAGATCTTTTCTCCACTCTGCTCTGTGGCTCTGGGAAATGACTTCTATGGGCTACATCAACTGAGCCCTTCCTTTTTGGTTTCAGGTTAGCTTTGCCCAGTGGGAGAGACATCAGAAGGGATCTCCCTAAGAGCTGGTTCCCTCTTGCTGGATTTATTGTTGCTAAAGCTGTTCTGTGAGTAGTTCACAACTCGTATTCAGTAATGGCCCTCTCTGACAGCCATCTATAGTTACAGATCTTTCTGGATTCTGATAACCCTTCCCTACCCACTTTAGACTTGGAGACAATAATGGCTTCCTGATGTTGCTAACCTAGAGGTACCCCACCATCTCTTGCTGTTTTCCCTAAACCCTACCTGTACCTTTTGAAATGGTTCCTTCATTAAATTTTCTTGAATGCTTCATTTGAGTATGCTGTTTTTCTTGCCAGGATCCTACTGATAATGCTCATTTATATCTAAAACAGATTTGAGGTAGCTGCCCGTTCTGCATTAGAAACCAATTACAGTTTTCCTTAATGGCAAATGCAGACAGGAGCCCATGGGCTGCCATGCTGGCTTTCTTGGGAGGGAGAGGGCTATGGTTTCCTCAGTATGCTCCAAATGTGGTGTCATCATTATGTCAAATCAAAGTCAATGGGTTTAGAGTAAAATCTAGCAGCAAAAGCATTTGCCACCAATGCTAGGTGGTTGTCGGGTCCCTCTTGCTTGTTTTACCCCAGTAATCATCTCAAATACTGATGCCATTTGTTATCACCATAATGCTGACATCATTTTACCCCTTAAGGATACGTCTAAGGAGCAGTCCCTTTGTTAAGCCTCAATCTGGGTCCCTTCCTTAAAGGGGGAAAAAGCAAGTATTTTGGGAAGATTCTCACTTGCTAATAGTCTCCAGCATTTTGTGCCTTCCCTTTTCTCCTAACATTTATTTGTTCATTCACTCATATTCAGTACACATT